ATCACTAAAGCGCTTCCTAAACCAGCCAATCGTCGCTTTCCATTAATGATTGAGTCTACAATGAACCATGTTAAGATAAAATCTCATATAACTAATTAAGCAGATTGTCGTCCTTTTATTTGCATAGCAAAGAAGAGAATTAAACTTACTTATTAATTTATTAGATACAAATTAAGGCCACAAGCCATTAATTAATATATATACTTGTGTGCTTCACTTTCTCAATTATTCATTACTCAGCGTAGCCACCATTTATCACGGTCATGAGTGCGGATAGAACCAAACTCAAACAACAGAACTTCAACTCCATGCTCCTTGATGGCCCTTCTTGGTTCCACTGATTCTCTGCAAAGAGGGCAAGTTGAACCAACACATGGAGCCTCCAAGCAATCTCTGTGCAAGACATGGTCACACCCTACCATTCTAATCTCCTCTTCTTCTCCAATTTTGCATTCACACACACCACAATCTACCCCTTTCTGAGCCAGGGTTGGAATGTAAATATTTATAATGCCATATATTCTGCTCTTCTCCAATTCTTGGGAAATGAGAACCATGCATGGAGCATGTAGAAGGGATAATATACAAGAAAATCTAACACCCATTTCAGATGAGTGTAAATAAGAGTCAAGTACTTCGTGACTTGACCATACTAAAGATTTGGGGAGAGAAATAGGAGTCTGATCAGAAAGGCTCTTGTTTTGCTTTGAGGAAATGTTGAAACATTTGGGTATATTTATAAGGAAAGAGTTCCATTTACAAATTTTTTATTTACAAACTTTTACTAATTACACTATATTTTTTCACGAAAATACTAGGTTACACTATGTTCTTCCGGGAGTACATAGTATAATTTGCAAAAATTTATAAAAAAAGTTTTGTAAACGAATCTTTCCCTTGTTTATAAACTTTTCTAGCATGGATACATTAAACTTAAACGAATGACAAAATAGACTTTATTTCGTAATTTTGAATTTCATGCAATTTCAAATTTTATTTTTAAAGTAGTGTAAGTTTAAAGAAGTTTTGTGTCTCACTTGCCATTTAATGCGCGGTTTTGTAAAATATGTTTTTAACAAAGTTACGACCATTTAGCACGATTTATATGGAAGCTTACTTCTTCTATTTTTTGGTAAATGGAAGTTTAATTTTTAAATTTTATTTTTAAGGGAAAAGTTCAAAAAATCTCTATGCTTTCTTACCCCTTATGTTTTTTTATTACTTATCTCCCCTGTGATTCCCCCTCCCCCCCAAATTAATGTGCCAATACAAATATATATATATATATATATATATATGTCACCATCAAAGTTATGTTTTGTAGTGTTATCAAGCTTCTACCCCCACCCTACTGAGCACGGTGACCCGGCCCGCTGGTAGCAACCAGTGATAATCTCGCAGCTATGCAAGCAACATGCATTCCACAGTTCTGAAAAACTGATGATGTATCGTGTTGTATCACCAACCCTCTTACCCTCATCACCTCATTCACGTGTTAATAATGGTTTGTATATTTTGAGAGGGAAAAGTGTTTGTGTTTTTAAATAACATAACTTTTGTCATTTCATTCTCACAAATCTACACTTTTATAGTTTTTATGCACTCTCTCCCTTTATCTATTTCTTTCTCTTATTTAAAATGACATAACTTTACATCTTTTTCATTTTGAAATGCTTATTTTTACTTGATTCAATATGTGATAGAATTCAATATTGAAATACAATCGTATTTTTCATATTATTATTCAACTATGTATATTATCGTATTATTGAAATGGTATGGCTAAATTACCAAAAAAAAAAATGGTATGGCTAAAATTACATGATTGTTAAAAACAAAAAAAAATCTTACATACCCAGGTCAAAATCAAATTAATGAAAATCATCAAGCACACAAATCAATTAATAAGGATGATTTCAGTTTAATTAATGATTTTGAGTTTAAATTTTGAATATGTAGATATGTTAAAAACGTGACATAAGTGTTGGGCTGGATAGCTTGTGGCGAGGAATTATAACTAATGGGCTAAGGTAGGTCAATCACATCAAGTGGATTCGACATCATGTCATAATCCAAAATTTTAAGACATTGAATTTATAGGTCCATCCTCTTATATTCATTTCACTTAATCTATTAGCAATCAATATAAGATTCATCACACTTGAATATTTCAACAATTTTCCCCTTAAATGTAAAACCTATCATTGGATCCACTCATGTTAAATAAAACATGACATAGCTATATGGAAAAATCATAATCATGCAAAAGTAAATCAACGGTGATAATTTTGTAACTATTTATTTCAATTTTTTTTTTTCTCTTCTTTTATCACCACTAATCCACCTATATATGGTTATGATTCTCCTACATGATCATGTCATGTTTTATTTAATATGAGAAAATTCACATCCAATTTTTAATTTTCATGTATCACTGTAAAAATAAAAAATCATAGATCTAATATCAACTGTTGATTTATTTAAATCTTGCGGTTTTTTTATGCCTTTTATAATAAAATGATGGCAATTTTCAGTTCAGACCTCATTCCTCCAAGTACCTAAGCTTGTTTCCCAGTCTATTGGGCTTGTTTTGTTCGTATCGCTTGCTTGGTTGGGCCGATATAAAAAAACAGCAACCAAATTTTTAGTTCCTGTAATATTGTTATCAAAATTTAGTGTAAAAATTTATATTTTTATGTTTTTACTAGAGTGGTGTGTATTGAAACGCAAATAAAAATGTAAGTGTAAAAATGGTAAAAACTTATGTTTTTACCGTTTTGACCAATTTTACTTAAAATGAATTTAAAAAAAAAATTACAAAAAAAGAAATAAAAAAAAAACCCAAATTTTCGTTTTTCCCAAATCATATGCAGAGTATCTTGATATCTTTTTGTTTATATATATGTCTTTTATAATTATATCTTATAAAGCTGCAATTCTATTATAAGTTATGCTATGAGAATCGTTTTGTGTTTTTGTACTATTGTGTGCATTGAAAGAAGTAGAATTATATGTGATTATCCAAAATCTGCAGAGTGTATGAAGCAGTTAGAGCAGATTGGTTATCCATTACTTGTTAGTTATCACTGTTTATACTTTTGACACTTGGTTATCAATTTTTTTTTCTTTTTAGATAGAAACACACATGTTCATTATGTGATATTTTTTTATATGCATATATATAATTTTGTATCTTGACCTTAAGTAGTAGAAAGTAAAAACTTTATGTTTCGTGTCGTTTCTAAGTTTTACGGTTCTACCACCCTTTTCTATTTTTACGTAGAAACTCGAGTTTGACAACATTGTCATGTAAGCATATTTTCTCCGTAATTCCTAAATTTTGCAAACCACATGATATTATTATTATTATATATAAATATAAATATATATATATATATATATATGGATTTTATAATTCTCATTCAACATGAGAATTCAAATTTTCCTACACACCCTTCGATTTCCGTGCTGACATGGGTCCTACATATAATTTTTTCTAACACATGGGTCCCACATGCTTTTTATCTCTACAACATGAGAATTGAATTCTCATTCAACATGAGAAAATCAAACCCCTATATATATATATATATATATATATATATATTAAGGGAGACAACACTTATCATAACCTACTAATATAATACGTCAAAATATTTATGGTATCGATTTATGGTTTAGACTCAAGGTGATAATATGGGTTGAGCCCGGCGGGTTAATCCGTCAAAACGAGACAGGTTGGATTGAGATTTTCAACCCCCTAAGTCACTTCAACCCGCCCTGGCCAAAAGTGGGTCAGAACGGTTTCAACCTGCCGCAGGATAGGTTGACCCGTCGGGTTATAAATTTTTTTTTACAATTAAGGAGTATTTCATTTGTCATTAAGCTTTTTGTGATGTCCAAATATTTGTTATCTTAGTACTTCCTAGAAAAAATAAAGAAGAACAATTTTATTTATGACAAATGTTATCTATATAGGAAGACAAATGAGTTCTTAAAGAATGTTTAACTGAATAATAGTATACATTTTTTAATTGGTGGGTTGGTGAGTTGACCCGTCAATCCGTCAACCCACCATAAAATGAGATGAATTTATTTTTTCAGCCCTTATTTAATGGCGGACCAATCTGCTCCTCCTCATTTTTGACGGATCGATGATGGTTGGGACGAGCCAACCCAAATTATCACCCCTAGTTAAGACGAATTGTGTTGAATTTGAGAAAATGACACCAATTATTATTATACGTTAATTTGCAAAAAAAAAAAGGGCAAAAAAAGGTAGAAATTTTTGGTGATTTTTTTTTTTATATATATAAATTTTTGGTGATTTTAATAAGACCCATTGCGAGTCACGAGACCTGCAAATTTCATTTTCATTTTTTAAAAAAAAATATCACATTTAGTCATGAGCTTTGGTTTTATGTCAGTTGGGGAAGATTTTTTTCTTCTATAATATGATAAATTAATATATAAGAAATATTAATTTCATGTCACATGAGACAACAACTCTCTTTTATATACTCAAAAAGATGAGTCCCACTTTAATTTTTTTTTCTCTTTTCCCATGTAATGAGATCCACATAAAATTATAAGAGCAACATGAGATAAATATTTCCTGTTGCATAAAAAATATAATCCCTTAATATATATATATATATATATATATATATATATATTTATTTATTTATTTATTTGCGCCGGATAGAGACTTGTATCATATATTCATATAAAAATCTCATTAAGCAGACTGTCATTCTTTCATTTGCGCAGCAAAGAAGATAATTACACTTAGTAAATAGTTTATGGGTTGTATTTATTTCATTTAATATAAGATAATTCATCTTTTTGCACACAAAAGTGAATCTAATATTTATTTATTTTCTCTGCAATCATTTATAGATCTTTCTTATAATTTTATTTTATTAGCATAAAATAACTCATTTTCAAAACCAGCAAGACAATTATATATTCTTCAATGCTTCACTTGCTGATTGCGTTACTCAGCGTAGCCACCACTTATCACGGTCATCAGTGCGGATAGAACCAAACTTAAACAACAGAACTTCAGCTCCAAGCTTACTGATAGCCCTTCTTGGTCCCACCGATTCTGTGCAAACAGGGCAATCTCTGTGAAAGACTTTGTCACACCCCACCTCTCTAATCTCCTCTCCTCCTCCAATTTTGCATTCACACTCAGCACAATCTACACCTTCCTCTGAGCCAGGGGTGGATTCACAATGGCACATACTCTGCTCTTCTCCAATCTTTTTCACTTGAGAATGATGGAGCCTGTAGAAGGGATAATATACAAGGAAATTTAACACCCATTTCAGATGAGTGTAAACTAGAGTTGAGTACTTCATTATCATGCTGAAGCCTGAAGGTTTTAGCTGAGAAATAGGAGTATGATAAGAAAGGCTCTTGTTTTGCTTTGAAGAAATGTTGAAACTTATATTGTATATTTATAAGGAAAAGTATGTATCATTTTAAATGATATAAAGTTTTGTTATTTTAAGTGAGAGAAAAAGATAAAAAGAAAAAAGTATACAAAAAAATATAAAGATATGAGTCTCACCTCTCTCTTTTATAAAGAGAGTAAAAAGATATAAGTTCTGTCATTTTAAAAGACAAATATTTTTTCCCAAGAAAAATCAATTGTCAATAAACCTTGTAACTTGCAAGAATAAGACCGCACAGGGTCCTCGTTAAATTAACAATTTAAAAATGTTTTAGTCATGCCGCTTCCGCATGTCTTGGTCATTTCAGGCATGCGCATTTGTCTCTAAAGTTTTGATGTGTCTTATATTATAAAAAGATAAACTTATCTTTTTCATAAACAAAAAATTTATGTAGCACTTATATTTTTTTCTTCTTCTCTTTTCATGACTCCAGATAAATTTTGCATATTTTTATATGTGTATAAAAAATAATTTTATTTCTTATAATATAAAAATAATAAAACCCTTCTCGATAATTATTTCTGCAATTTCCACCATTAAATTAAACCCTAGTGCTTTTTTATGACATCACTAGTATATGCTAGAAAATGTTAACAAAAATTAAATTTGTACATGAATTATATTAGTATAATATTTTTTATATTATAATAAATAAAATTATCTCTTACAATATAAGAAATATCAAATCCGAATTATATTTCGTATTCACGATTTTATTGTAAAAAGATATTAAACAATTCGTACTAATTAAGTAGTGGTTAAGACTCCAACTTATTAAAATTTGCATCATTTTTAAAATTAAATTTAAAGTTGTAATAAATTACAATACATAACTGCAGCAGATAAGGTATCACATCATTTCATAAGTACTTCATTAAATAATTAACTTGTTTAAAGATTTTATTTATAGATTAATATATTTCTAGCATGAACCGATACTTAACAATTATTGAATATTTAGCTACTAGACATTTACTGTTTTTGGTAAAAAGCTACTAGATATTTATTTATTTATTAGATTTAATATTTCTCATGTTATAAGTCGTAAAATTATTTTTTATATTCACATAAAAACGTGTGAGGCTTATTTTTTTGTCTCTTTTTTTTTTCACATGATCCAAAATGAACCTCATATAATTGTATGTATGTATATATATAGAATATAATTTTATCTCTTATTATATGAGAAATATCAAATCCTTATTTATTTTGGTAAAAAGCTACTAGATATTTTTTCTTTTTGGTCAAAAAGCTACTACATATTTATTTATGTATTTTGGTAAAAAGCTACTAGATATTTAATTTGAGAGGAATAAGCCGAATAGATGTTTGCAACGCAATCATGGTCTCATGGATGGTGCAAATACACTGCGATGGCCGGCTATTATTGAATAATATAATATGTCTTAGTTTATTCTTGTTAAGCACCATAATAGTTTCACTTAATTGTGCGATTTCAATTCAGCTCAAGAATTTGAAGTACCACTGTTTTAGCTCATGAACAGCTAAATTAAAACACATCAAACACAAGAATAACATGCAAAACCCCACACACTAGTCCTGATCAACTGCAGAATGCCGTACGAAATCCAACCATTTTTTTTTTTATTTTGTTTACCAAATTCATTGTTTTCACTACCGACACAGTGAGAACAATCCAAACCACCAGGGTCTAGGGAACAGTGTGTGGTCCCTTACCCATCAGTACCAATCGCTTATACGCCACATATTACTCCCTCGTGGTGGAACAACGAAAGCCTCACATTATCCCTCATGTTTCGAAATTTAAAATGTGTATTTTTTTTAGAGTGAGGATATTTTAACTATCAAAAATTTTTACTACTAGGTTACTACCCATCACATCACCATTGGATCAAAGAGAGAGAATGTTAAAAAGTTTTTTGAAGAGAGAGAAAATGTTAATATAATGATGATTAAATAGGTAGTAGGTTAGTAGTAGAAAATTTTAGTAGTAAGAATATCTCTCCTCTCTTTTTTATTACGAGTGATAATTTTATTTTCTACACATATATAAAAATGTGTAGGATTTATATTTTTTTTTCTCTAATTTTTTCACATGGCCTCGTATGAACTTCACACATTTATATATATATATATATATATATATATATATATATATATAAAATAATTTTATTTTCTACAATATGAGAAATATTAATATCATTTTTCTTACCATAAAACTGGTTAAAATTTTAAATAACTTTACAGTCTAAACCGCGGGGGGGGGGGGGGGGGATTTTTTTTTTTTGAAAATACAATGAAAATTAAAGCAACATAAAAAAAAGCCCTATATTGGGCACAATCTTGGGAGACTAACTCCCCTCAAGTCATTACGAAGCAATTCCAAACAAGCCGTTGGAGGGACATCCAGCACAATCAGTTGTCCATCTTGATGAGGTACATGAGTAGCAAGCCAATCAGCAACAAAATTGCCTTCTCTATAAGTATGACTAAGTTGAATAATCCAGTCTCTTTGAAGCATGCTACGAGTTCGGATGATTAAAGCAGAAAGAGGATGACTTACGTCACACCTTTTTCTTATAAATTCCAAAGTCACCTTGGAGTCACCCTCCACAAAGACTCTCCTAAATCCCTTATGCCAAGCTAGATCCATACCTGTCAAGAACCCCCAAATTTCCGCTGAAGTAGAAGTACCACTCCCAAGGAATTTTGTAAAACCAGTTAACCAGTTCCCAGCAGCATCCCTTATGGCTCCACCACATGCCGTCCTTTACCCACTGTCTATGCTGGAACCATCCACATTAAGTTTAACATAACCCTCAGAGGAAAAATTCCAGTGAATAAGACGTTCCTCTCTTCTAAGCTCCTGATGACCAATCTTAATAAGGGTTTCATTAGCCAATTGAATATTACCACAAGTGTAGGTAATGCGCCTAATAAGACCATACTTTGAGGTGCTAGTTTGATCAAAGATCGTCTTATTTCTTTCCCCCCACAAACACCAAGTTATCACCCCAAAATACAAAGGCCAAGTTCGATCAGTTTGAAACGGACCTTTTAATCCTAGATTTGTCTGAATCCATAGGTGAAGATCCATGGAGAAAAAGTTACTACGGTTATCAGAAGGAACCCAATGCTCCCATAATTCCCTGGCACCAGGACAATCTCTAATAGCATGTAAACTATCCTTAAGATTATAATGACATCTCAGACACGCTGCATGCATCTGTAGCCATGTGACGATGCACTCTACGAACATTAGTTAAAAGAGAACCTCTGTAGAGAAGCCATAAGAATTGTCTAATACGTTCAGGACTAGGCCAAGCCCAAATTACCTTCCAAATCTTATCCTGATGATAATGCGAGGTACCCATGAGATAGTTATAAGCTGATTTCACTGAAAAAAAACCCCATCTTGGCTACCTGCCCAAATAACACGGTCCGGAGAAGGATCCACTGTAAGAGGGAGCACACTACGAATCTTGTCTAATACTGAAGTAGGAAGAAGGTGCTGGAATAAAGGCCAGTCCCAATTACCATAACAAGTTACAAATTGAGACGTAGACCAATGAGTCATAATAGGAGGAATAGGTTGAACGGCCAGAGAAACAAGTTGAGGACATCCTGGCACCCACGAATCCATCCAAAAAGACGTATGAACCTCATCCCCTAAAATGATACGAGAATTCTCTAGATTTTGATGCCAATACTTAACAATAGCCAGCCTTCCATAAACCAGAATCATTTGCTGAAGCCAAGATACTTGGAATGAGCCTCTCCTCCACCTTATACTTGCTACGAAGGACCCGAACCCATAATGAATTACAATCAGTCATGATACGGTGACCTAGCTTCATGATAAAAGCCATATTATTCTCTTTAATTTTATGAAAACCAAGTCCCCCTACATTCTTCGGCAAACAGATCGTCTCCCAAGAAACCAGGTTAGCTTTTCTTCGTTCAAAAGTTGAACCCCAAATGAAATTCCTAGTTACACTCTCAATACGATCACACGTACCACTAGGAATAATACAAGTTTGCATAGGATATTGAGGAATTACGGTAAGAACCGACCTAGCCAAAGTTGATCTTCTTGCCAATGAAAGAGTACGATGATTCCAAACATTTAAGCGAGCTTGCATCCGATTTAAGATATAGCCAAACGTACTCTTTGTAACACGGCTATGACGAAGAGGAATACCCAAGTATTTACCCAAGTCATTTGTAGGAGAGTAGCCCATCAACTGGCTTAGATTCTATACTCGGGTATGATTAACGTTTCTGGAGAAGAAGACTTTTGTTTTTTCCTTGCTAACCTTCTCACCAGAGCACCTGCAAAAACAATCAAGAATCTTATTAATAATAACAGCTTGCCCTTCTGTGGCTTCTGTAAAGAGCAGAAGATCATCTGCAAAAAATAGATGAGAAAGCAGTGGTCCCCTTCTATTCAATTTGATAGGCTTCCAAACGTCCTCTTGAACTGCTACATTAATCAAATGAGCAAGTTTTTCCATGCAAAGGATGAAAAGATAAGGAGACAAAGGATCTCCCTGACGAAGACCTTGATTAGGAGAAAATTCTGTCGTAGTTGATCCATTCCATAACAAATTCATTGTACATGACGAGACACAACACATGATCAGAGAAATAATATTCTCAGGCAAACCAACATCCACAAGCGTGTCTTTCAGAAACTCCAAAGAAATCTTGTCGTAAGCCTTTTCTAAATTAACTTTGACAGTCATCCATTGTAGATACTTGGAATTGGTGGATATTGCCCAACATCCTAAATCAACTGTCCAATTCCAAGTGTCCTCCAATCAGTTTCCGTAAAGAGAAGTTCAAACTTTGACAGTTATCAACTTTTCTAAATCAACTTTGACAGTCATCCTAAATCAACTAAAGAGAAGTTCTAAATCAAT